AAAAAAAATACAGAAGGTTACCTCAATTGGTCCGTGTTAATAAAAAAAAAAAAATAAATCTTTTAATTGGCCATTAATTTGTGGTAATGAACCGATCGATAAACATAAACATAACAAAAAGAGAAAAAAAGATAAGCTAAGTGTGAATAAATTCGTACATTCGACCTTGTAGATTATCGAAGTAGGAAATATTTTTTTATTTTTTTAACATACGAAACGTTTAGATTGGAAACCTTCAAAAGTCGCGTTTTCATCGTTTTAACGAACGAATAGGAAAATAATTCTAAAGTTTCCCGCGTCTCCCCCTTGTCGTTGATCGAAATTCATTTTCTTTTTTTTTTGTTTCTTTTTCTTATTAATATTTATATTATTTTTTTTTTTAACAAGGACAATAATAAGTCGTTCGTTTGGTGGAAGGTTTTGGGTTCAGCCACCACTCGAGGCGGCGAACGCTACTCAACGAATTCGCGGAACTCTGGCGGTTAGGCAATTAATTATTAAATTTATTTGCTAATTAGGTAATTACCAAGCGCACTCGAGTGTGCCGCCTGAAGTTCGAGAACTCCTCCTACTTCTTCCGTTTAAACCCCTTACCTACCGTCCCCTTCCCACCTCCCACCCAATCTTCACCCCAAACACACATGGAAGGGCCAATGGTCTCGGGCTAAACTATGCGACCAAATATCTTCACCTAACTTAAATCATCCAACTAGACTAGTTCAATATGGTCTTCGAAATGTACATATTGAATGGGATGATTTTTCTTTTTTTTTTTTTTTTTTTTTTATATATACAATTTTTATCTTTAGATGTGCAACAGAGAAAACGTACTAGATACGTTACTCTCGTTTCTTCGTTGCAGTTCTACAGTAACTTTGAACACTAATTAAACTTTATCATCATCGCGAGGATGAATTAATTAATGCGAATATTATGTATAATGATTCCGAGCCAGTGTGGCTCGTATGAATCTATTAAAATCGACTGCTTTTAATGAGTTCGCAAAGGTAACTAACTACGAAAACATATTTTATTACTTGCAATGAAGTGACGAGGAAAGGGAGGAATGGGACTGATTTCTCATTGGTCATGGGCGTACTCTCAGTTCTTATGCATAATTTTGAAATATGTGTATTATCCTTCAATGTTCTTGTCACGTGTTAGGTCTTACTAGTTGGTCTTTCATACCTACATATATCTCTTGGTTTGTTTCATTTTAATATAATCCACATATATAATTATTATTTAAAAGAAAGATTGTGAAATTGTTAATGTCAACGTGTTATCAAGATAATTTTGTTAATGAAAAGACGAAGTAGAATTTGTGTGGAGTTTTTATCGTAATTGTATTGGAATCGTTTCAATCAATATAAATGCGATTAGTACAAGAGAATAAATTCATTTAATTTCTTATTTCCTTCTCCTCTCGTTTCTTGATTCCTGATTTGATTTATTTCATTTAAATGTACCCTACTTCGAAAAGAAACGAGGCGAGTTGAAAGCAACGCGCGTTTATTTCTTCTCGTTTTATTTACACAGTTAAGTAATTAATATTATATTGTAAAACAAATTTTGTCATTATTTTGAAATTGTTTCAAATGAATGAATTATTGGTTAACATTTTCTTTTCTTTAATTTTGGTTTAACAAGTGTCCATTAATTTAACATTTACAAAAGCTTATGTGTAACAGTTTTTTTGATTAATTTTACTCGATAAAAAGAAAAAGTATCGTAATTTATAATAAAAATGATATTATATTCAATTCTATCCTTTAGTTTAGTTTCCTTTCATGTTGAACTTATTTGATTTCGTTTGGACATAAATAGAAGAAGAAGAAGAAGAAGAAGAAGAAGAAGAAGAAGAAGAAGAAGAAGACACTCGTGTCTCCATGAAATAAAAGCAATGTTTCTTCGTTAGCATCAGGGTTGCATCGCGTTAAGTAATTAGCGTGTTCCTCTTTGAAAAGCAACTGCTTGCATTTTACCGGTTGCTGTTTAAACAAGAATTTCGTTTCTCCCTTTCTCTCTTTCTCTCCCTCTCTTTGCAAAAATGAAAGAAACAAAGTGCAAGAAGAAGAAGAAGAAGATGAATTAGTTTTCTTATTTTTTACTTGCTTTTTCTGTCGACTATTAATTAAAGAAAAAGCAAATAATCATCGTTGCATATCGTTGAGAAATTATGCATTTCGCAAAATCGTATTGATCTAACGGTTTCACGTAAATCAAATTAATGAATCGGATCGATTAGATTATCGAAAATATTGAACAATCGGAAGCTTGTTCTATATGTCGTGGCTATTTCAGTCCTACTTAAGGAATTCGATTGAAATTTCGGAACACGAATCCAAACCACATCGAACTAAACGTCGAAAATGTTCTTTGATCAAATTTCCCAAACGATTTCAACGTGATGAAAGGATTGCTTTAACGCATTGATTGCTGACTTAAACCTCACTCTACCTTCGATTCTATTGTCTTATTAATATATATATTTATATTTTTCTTTTTCCCATTTAGTTTCTTTAGTTTTATTCTTTCTATTACGATTTCGTTTTTTGCTTTTAACAAAACGTTAGCTTTAATGGTTAAGTATGATACCACCGCATTTCGTATGTACCAAGTAATAGAACTTTTTCTTCAGACTCGAACCCCGTTCGTTACGTTCGTTAGACTATCTCTAGAAAAAGAGTTTGTGGAAAGTCACGTAGGTCCTTTCTACTCGTTGAATAATGAAATCTGCGAGAAAATGGAGAAAATCGCGTGGTTTCTTTTGGGACCCACCCCCTTCGCTATGGTTTCTTTTTTCGGGGACCATCTTAACGAGATAGACAGGAAAACGAAAAAGGAAAGAAATATAAAAGATAAAAAAGGACGAGCTTTGGGTTATCAAAAGCTGTACTTAGGATTTTCTGCTGGTTCGATCAAAGAGTGCATTGAATGAACGAAGGAAGAAGAAAAAAAACCCTTTTTCTATTTATAGTTTTGTCCTTTTTTTTCTTCTTTTCTTTTGCGAAAGTAAACGTGCGGTACATATTTTTTTCTTTTTTTTTTCAAATGAATTGTTTATTAAAATAATAAACATTTCTTCAAAATCTTTAGCATTACAACCGCTTGTTTACTAATTCATCTTGTAAAGGAACATATAAAATAATAAACATACAATTATTAATTACGTTAGTATTATATTAGAATATGTATAAATAATATTTTACAAGAATTTATTGTCGAAGGTAAGCCTTACACGTATTTAATTATGTGCACGTGTATGTAGGACGTACATATCTATATATATATACATAGCATATACGAGAATCTACTCTGCTCTTTCGTAAACACGTTGTTCCCATTTAACAAAGCAGCGGTGCTCAATTAAAATCAATTATAGATTTAGAAAATAGAGAAGGTTCATCTATCACCCTCCAAATCATTATTTGTCTTTATCTTTTTTTAATTATATATTTTTATTTACTTCTGGGTATGGAAAAATAAATAAGATAAAAAGAGAAAGAAGAAGAAAAAGAAGAAGTAGGAAAAAGAAAAGAAAAGAAAAGAAAAATAAGCAAACGAACGACGTTGTTCGTAACTTCCGATGAAGTTCGTGGATTTTCCATCGTTCGATTCTACCCATTCCCCTATCTATCTCTTTCACTCTATTTTAACGGCAAAGGTATACTCGTTTCACTCGAAAAAAACTGCATCGCTCGTTACGTTTACCGATCTATGTATATATGTATGTATTTATGTGTGTATATAGGTATATAGATGCATGTAACGTTGATCGTTCCCTTGCAGTTTACAGTCGCATCCCAGTCAATTCCCTTTCGGGACAACTGATGCATTTCCAATACCGCTTGCATAACAGTGCTTCTCAATACCAACGTTGTGCGATCGTTAAGCTTCCCACCGGTTCGCGAGTTACGATAACGACACCCGACGTTATTTTCTAACGCTTTTAACGTTTTGTTACATAGAAAATAATGTAAGACGTTTGTTTTCAATTGTTCTTCCGAAACAAGTACAACGCATGATTAAGAAATTTTTATTAAATGATATATAATTATATTTGTTTCAGCGTCGTAGTTATTTAATGGGGAAATAAATTGTTTCTTTTATTCGTTTCTTCTTTTGTTGTAATATTAAATTTTTCTTTAATATGAATGATTATTATTACGTAATTTGTGCAAGGGACAAACAAGAAATGTTTGTTAATATAGAAATAAAAATGAATTAGATATGACCACACTTGTTATCTTTTATGAATTTTTATGTGCGTTTATAAAAAATATGAAAAAACAATCATAGTCGCTCATATATGAAATAAATATAATGTCCTATGCAGGATTACGAAGTAGGAAGGTCCCATGTATGTATACCATAAATGAAAAATGTAGATTTTTCAAAATTAAATTGTTAATTATATAATACATTTTATATTTGTGACATTACTTCCTGTACTTCTGTATTCTTCGTATAAAATTAACATGAATTGCTAAAAAAATAATATCCTTAATTTCTGCAACTTTGAACACGAAAATTGAAATCTATATAAATATAATATTAAATGAAAAAAAATGATAATTACAATTATTGCAAGTTTTAATTGTTATATTTCGACAATTATATTTAATATCATTGTTAATTATTGTGCAATTACTAAATACAAGTTGTTAATTATAATTCATATTAATATTCGAATTTCGGACAGACGTATATTTTGGAAAATTGTTTCTAAATGATTTTGCATCATCATTGATATCAATTAGAATTGAATGAAATTTTAACGACGAGCTCACCATTATCCATGATAGTCACCAATGAAACTATCATTGAGTTTTCATACGATATTTATTTTTTGATTATGTTACAAAGCATATATCTAATCTACCGGTCAATAAACGTTAACAAAAAATATATCGCTGTAGGAAGTAACATGAAAAAAAAGTGAAAGAGAAAATATTTGAATAATATACTTAATCTTACATTATATTTATTTGGATTACCTTGTAAGTACCGAGGTTTTTAACGACGCAAGGTAGACTGACGTCCCTTCCAAGTGCAACGGTGACGTTGGGTATTGGTTCGGCAAACATCGGTGGCTCTGAGAGTGCTGCGCAAAGGAAAATAAAAGAGAATCGATTAGTAGAACGTCGTCGTCGTCGTAGTCGTCGTCGTACGATTACGTGTTTCAAAATACAAATAAAAAAGAATTTTCAGTTCTACTACGATTCGCAATATTCCTATGGGGGTTTTCTTTCGATCTCGTTTAAAAACGTCGATACTTTTTTGTTCTTTATTTTCTTCAAATAAGATACGTGTTTACTATCAACGTTTAATAATTGTACATTTCTAAAAGTACAAAGAGAATTTTTATTGTTTCACATATAATATTAAATATATATAATGATTTGTATATAATGTCAAGATAAATCGAAATAAATCAATGAATTGTTATAAAAATGTATCTATTTCTTTTTTTGTCTCTATAATAATATATAAAATATAATGTACGATTGTAATCTATATCAACAGTCTGCAAGAATTTAAAATAATATCTGATATAAAAAGAAAAATGAAGCAAAAAATCTATGTAATTCGCGTAAATATAACCATCCAGTCATTTTCTCATGAAATTCATTTAAATTCAAGCTGGCGTATTTCCAGTTGCGTTACTCGAAATTTATAGACGCGGCGATAATTGAAGTGAATCGATGTGAAATCGTCCTATGCAATCGAAAGAGTAGTAACGACGATGGAAGGGAAGGGGTGGTGGAATACGATGGGTGAAACAGTGGGAGTGGGGAAAGGTCTGAAGAAGGTGGAGAGGAAGAAAGGGATGGAAAAGGGAACTAGAAGGAGAAGCCATAATCGAAAAAACGACATCGTCCTTTGCACAAAAGGATCGAGATGGGCTTTCGAGCACGCTAGAACGGAAGATGGAAACGTCCCGTAAGGCGGAACAATTGCTTCGAGCTACCTTAAAGGCTAATCAAAGGGGTTGAGGGTTAAAGCAAGCAAGCATCTTCTTGATCGAACGTTAGAATCTCGACGTTGACGTTAACTTATTTTTTGGATTTTTTGACTTTTTCTCTGGGTCTTTGTTTGGTCTTAATACAAAAAAAATAACTTCAATAATTTCTTAATACATTTTTTATAAAGACATTATTTTGTAATCTTCGACAGATGATTTGTATATTTGAAAGCTTTATAAAGATGGGATAAATTATTCTACAAATTAATGGCTGAATTAAAATGTAGTATAGCATCAAATAGAAGAAACATTTTTTTTTCTAAAATATCTATAGAGAATATTAGACGAGTTGGTTTCTTGTAAGAAACGAATCGATGGAAGATGATTGTGCCATAGAGAACGGACTACTTATTTCAAAATTCCAAACATACTAAAGGTTCACTCGCATAATCTCTCACACGAGACTAGAGACGATCATCTTGGCTATTGTCTTAAACGACTCCTTTTGCTGGCCATCGAGTATCCTTCAGATGTCTGAAGTCGGGGCCGATCATTTGCATGGAGCAATTTGGAGCAACCCTTCTGTTGCTTCGTTGCTTTCATTATCGAAATTTCAAACCAGGCTTTATCGATCCAACCTAAAGCTTACAATTTGTCTACCAGTATGTTTGAATAGTATACACATGTAGTTCATTTTCTCTTTCATATACCGAACGTTATGATTAGTCATGAAAATTCATTTTTTGATATATTATTTACAATTATTATTATAAACTTTAATTAGTTAAATTGATCAATAAGAACTTGTATATACTAACTCGTTACTAACATAAGTTTTCATTAGTTAATAGGCGATAGAACGAATTTCGAATATTTCTCGTTACCTATAACTACTTACTATGTGAAGTATGTACGCCCCATGAACGTTAGTAATTTTGTTAGAATTATTACTCTAATGTCATTAGTTAAATCCCCAAATAAAAAGATAATTTATTTATTGAAACTTTTAATTAAAATTCGTCTTCATTACGTGATTATTAATGAATATTCAAATTGGTATATAAAATATATTCATAAATGTACATAGTATGTACATTTAAATAGTCAGTACGATGATCACGTGGTACGATCACGTGGTGCGCTTGCACATCGACGCAAAGTGCCATCTGTAAAATGAGGTTATATATTGATTGGTTGTTGTGTTTTATTCTTTTCATGTTTTAAAATGAATAATCAGCTTATTATGTGAAAGGAAAAGTATAGTAATTGTTTATTAAATGAAGAAAATATAAAACTATTAAGGTACATTATTTTTATTAGAGAATAATATAAGAAACTGTTGGAAAAGAATTATAGAAGAAAAGTTAACCTCAAAAAAAAATTGTATTGCATTATAAACGTATAATTCGTTTTGGTGTATTAGAAATAGAAAGTGTTTAGCGAATAATAAAAAAATGTAATAATCGAATATCGTATTACTTGGATGTAAAAGAAATATTTGATGTTATTGAAGGAGCTTGCGAAGCGATTGGACATGAAGGTTATAATTGACTACGATTAGAAACAGGTAGAATATGTGCCAATATTATTGTAGAATAATTATTTTATTTGTGCTTATTTATAAAGTGTGCATTAGTAAAAGCTTAACCAGAGAAGCCGTTTGTATTAATATTAATTTTAAATAATCTATTTAAAAGTTACTATTAAGTAAATCTTATGAAATAAGACAGACTGATAGGAAATGTAATAAAATATTGATGTATCAAAATCATCTTACAAGTTTATTTTAACTCGGGTCTTAAAATCAAAACAAGCCGCTGTAATAAGCTTATAAAATTAGTTAGATATTTCTAACATTTAAGGTTTCATGCGTATTACATTAGCAATAATGATAAATAATTTATTAATTTAATTATTAGGTCATTAAGTATGAAATGTCGGATTTGAGACCGAAAGTTTGGTTTATTATATCCAGGGCAATAAATAATATAATTAATCAAAATATGAACCTAAGCTATCAATACAACGTTGCCATTTTAACGATAGCTTATTAATACCGCTAGCGAAAAAATCTGAAGAGCAGCTGGTGATAAAGTCGCAAAAGGCATTTTTCACCGCATGTTGAGAATTAAATATTTTTCTTTGCAAAAAATTGTTTAAAGCTCGGAAAAAATGGTAATCTGTTGACGCGAGATCTGGCGAGTACGGTGGGTGACAAAGTGTTTCCAGGTCCAGTTCCTGTAGTTTAAGTAACGTCGATCTTGCAACGTGTGGTCGAGCGTTCTATTGCAGGAGGATTGGTCTGTTCCTGTTGACCAGTCTTGGCTGCTTAATTTGCAGCTGCCTCATCATTTCTTCTAACTGTTCATAGTAGAGATCCGCCGTTATCGATTGCCCAGATCTCATAAAACTATATATGTGTATAGTTATGTATATATGTATATATGTATATGTGTATATATATGCATATAGGTGTATATTTGGTGGCCCACTCGCACTGGGCCACCAAACAGACACCATTAGTTTTTTTTTGTATACTCGGCTTTGGGGTGTGTTTTGGCGCTTCATCTTTGTCCAACCATTGTGCCTAACGCTTGCGATTATCAAAAAGTATCCACTTTTCATTGCACGTGACTATCCGATGCAAAAATGGATCGCCTTTTAGTCTTGATACTAAAGAATAGCAAGTCTCGAGGCGGTTCCGTTGCTGACGCTCGCTCAACTCATGCGGAACCCATCTATCCAGCTTCTTTACTTTTCCGATTACTTTCAGATGACTTAATATTGCTGGGATGTAAACTTCAAACCTTGCTGCTAGTCCACGCGTCGTTTCAGATGGATTTGCTTCCACTACAGCTTTCAATTGAACGTCATCCACCTTGCTCTTAGGCCACCCGCGTGGTTCATTTTGAAGATCAAAATCTCCAGATCGGAATTTTTTGAACAATCGAAATACTGTACGTTTGCTAGCCACATCCTTGCCGAACACTTCGTTAACCCTTTCGCTACGGGTGGTGACTATAGTCACCAAACGCCTGACGTTCGCTACGTACGGGCGGTGACTAGTCACTCAACGTCTGATGCTCACTACATACAGGGCGGTCAGTATAGTTACTCGTGTGTTTGCACGAGTAATTCTTATATGTTATTTCCATGGTAACCCATCGCAATTGTTAAGCATTTGTTTTACACTCTGAGATTTTTAACTGGCAATATGAACATCAGCATAAAAGCATCGTTTCGGCAGGCGACTTCAGTTCTTCCGCAAGTGCACACTTGTGGCGCAGCAGCCAGTCCCGCAGGAGTAGCACGCCGTAGAATTCGTCCGTAGCGAAAGAGTTAACATTTTGGCTTCACTGCGCTGCATCAGTTCCACGACGGAACCCATATTCGAAAATAACTCGCATTTTGAACCCGGGTATTTTAGTTATTTCGGGTACCTGAATACTCAATTATGTATCGAGATATAAAAAAGCACAAGTGAGTAAATCTAAAATCTCACTTTTAACACTTAACTCGAATACATTTGTAATTCTAAGAATAAATAATAAATTGATTATTTTATTTTTTTATTTTATTTATATTAACCCTTTTCTCGTCAACAGTTAATGAATAATATTGTGTAAGAAAAAAAAATGAGAAGGAATTTAGCTATCATTGTAGTCTTCTTTCATCGAGTTCTTTTCGTATAAATCAACGTCAAAAGAAATAGAGAGGAGTGAGAGAGAGAGAGAGAGAGAAAGACAGGGGCGGTGAGGAGGGGTTACTCCACTCTTTTGTTTTTTTCTTTCTTCACAGTGCTTTACGAGAGAAGAACTCTCGTTCGATCGTGGTTGTAAAGTTTCTCAGCTTTACGAGGAAATGATATAAGGATCAAATTTATATGGTGCTAAGTCTTTCTTCTAGTCTTTTTTTTCTTCTTCTTTCATATTTTTCTTTTCTCTTTCTCTTTCTCTTTATTTTTCTTTTTCCTTTCCCTTCCCTTTCCCCAAGCCTTTTAAATCACTTAATCGAAAGTCTCTCGTTATTTTCTCGCTTTTTCTTAAAAGAGAAAGAGAGAGAGAGAGAGAGAGAGAATTACCTATATCGCATAAACTTCGATCTCAGGGAAATGGTCGAGACGATAAAATTCGCAGATT